ACCCTGCCAATGTTTCTAGATATCAACCTCCCTGCTGATCTTGCTAGCCCTGACCTCTGAGGACTTGGATTCTCTCAAAGACTGGAAATATTTAAAGATCAGGACTTAGGCAGACAAGGTTCTTTGGGTAAACCCACTACAACCTACACCCCTAAAGATCAGAACTATCTTCCACATATTCTTTTAAATACCTCCAAGCCATCCCGTAGCCCCAATCAGCATTGTCCCAATTGGTCATAAGTCTCATAATCCTCCAGAAATTAATTTCATAGTAGGTAGGGTAGGAAGGGACCTGAGCAGATCCCCAAGTCTGCCCCCCTGCCATGGCAGGAAAGAGTACTGGGGTCAAACAACCCCAGCAAGGTGTTCATCCAGCCTCCTTTTAAACCCCCCCGGGGTAGGAGCCAGCACCACTTCTCTTGGAAGTTGGTTCCAGATCCTAGCTGCCCTGACTGTGAAGCAGCGCCTCCTGATGTCTAGTCTGAATCTACCCTCTGCCAGCTTGTGGCTGTTATTTCTAGTCACTCCTGGTAGTGCTCGGGGGAACAGGGACTCCCCCAATGTCTGCTGGTCCCCCCAACTAGTTTGTAAACGGCCACTAGATCCCCCCTCAGCCTTCTCTTGTGGAGGCTGAACAGGTTCAGGTCCCTCAGCCGCTCCTCCTAGGGCCTGCCATGCTGACCCCTGACCATGCGAGTGGCCCTCCTCTGGACCCTCTCTCTCCATGTTGTCCACATCCCTCCTGAAGTGTGGTGCCCAGAACTGGACCCAGTACTCCAACTGCGGCCTGACCAGTGTCACATAGAGGGGGAGGATCACCTCCTTGGACCTCCTGGAGATGCATCTGTGGATGCATGACAAGGTACGGTTGGCCTTCCTGACTATGTTCCCACACTGTCGGCCCATGTTCATTTTGGCACCAATAATGACTCCAAGATCCTTTTCTGCCTCTGCACTGATGAGAAGGGAGTTCCCCAGCCTGTAGGTATGCTGCTGGTTCTTCCCCCCCAGGTGCAGTACCCTGCACTTGTCAGTGTTGAAACCTATCCTGTTCTCATCTGCCCACCCCTGTAACCTGAATTTCCTTCATAGAGCATCAGGAATTCCTCTAGCTAGTGAGCCATTTATTTGAGATGCCATTGTTATTTTGGGATGCTTTTTCCCATTACTGGAAGTTTGTACTTGGGGGCCCATCCCAATAATAGCCCCTTCTACCAGTGTTTGAGAGTGGCAAACATTCTTGCTGTAGCAACACAATGGCCAGAAGTACTTAGTAGTTTCACTATCTTCCTTTTCCTTAAATGTGCATCCCTCAGTTCCTTTGAACAAACCAAGAGTCCTTAACCCCCAGTCTGTGGGGCAGATCTGGGCCACAGTGCTGTGTCATCCAGCCCACGGCGCTCTCCATTAGTCCAGAAATTTGGCAGTGGGGAAGAGGTAGCACTGCTCCCTTGCTGCCGAAGTTTCCAGACCCAGGGAGAGCCCCAGGCCCTGCCTGCTTGATCAGGTGCCCAATCCCAGCATGCAGAGCTGAGCAAGTGCAGCACAGGGCCCCATCTTAGCATAGTGCAGACAGCACTGGGGCTTAGGCCCATTCCTGGCGTGGGAGGCCAGGTGGTGCCAGGCCTCCAGGGCCTAATTATGGCATGCAAGACTTGATTCAGCCCATGGACTGGACCAGCACCACTCATCTGGCCCACTGAACTGAACTAGATCCAAATCACAAAGATGCAAACAGCCAGCATAACATCATCCATACACTGATAAAAGGTGACACAGATGAATACAGTACAACATTGGCTTTTCAGTGAGACCACACACACGATAACAGTAAAACAAACTCATGAAAGCATGCATGACACCCCATAAACACTTTGGGGCCAGGAGGAGCATGACCTATATACATGTGTAGTGCGTTGGGGTCCCAGGGATGACCATGATGCTCCCTGGTGGTCCTGTAACCAATGCCTCACTCTACCTCTAGGGTACCCTCACTTCCTTCTCATCCACCATGCCTTGATGTATCTATTGTATAGAAAGGGGGGCTACCTTGACAGTCCTAGAATAAGCCTTTCTCCATCCACTAGCCAGCAGGTCTCTCCTGCACCATTGGCCCAAACCCAGCTCCTGAGCTGCTTGAACACTCTCCACCCGTCTGTGCCCCAGGGCACCTATAAGTCTTAGGGGCTATTTATGTGGCTCCATCCATCCCTACAGCACATCCCATGCCTCACAGGTGTTGCCTCTTCCTTCAGCACAGCAAAACAGTGGATCCAGCTGGCAGCCAGACACCATTTCCCAGCAACTCCTGGTTGTGTTGCTCTGGCTCGTCTTCATGGAGACCCCAGGAGCAGCAGGGTCATGACAGCAAGGGGTCAGGGTCTCCATGGAGACTGACCTGAGCAGCACTGGCAGGGCACATGGCTAGGCAGGGATCTGCTATGGGGCAGGGGCTGGGATCTTGCAGCAGTGATCCGCTGTCTCCATGCCCCTGGGGCCGTGTATCACAGCTCTGTCCCAGCTCTGGCCCGTGCTATCATGCAACCCCAGCCCCACAGCAGCTCCCTGCCCAGCCATGAGCCCTGCCAGTGCCACTCAGGCTGGTCTCCTTGGGTACCCTGGCCCTGTGCTGTCATGGCCCTACCAGTCTTGGGGGCTCCGTGGAGACTGGCCAGAGCAACATGGGCAAAGGATGCCAGGAAATGGAGTCCACCATGGGCCCAGTCCGGCCTGTGGACTGGACTTTGCCCGACCCTGCTGTACTGTCACTCTTCATTGGGGCTTCAGCCTCCTTTCTCTGGCTGGGCCTTCTAGCCCGGGCCCACTGTATTGGGCCTGGCTTCAAGGCACCAGCTCTAGTTTTGCCCTCTCAGGTGCTGGGCCCCTGGTCTCCATCTCCACCTCTCTCGGGCACTGAGCTTAGCAGCCTCATGCTCTGCCGTACTCTGGGCTCAGCACTTGCTCACCCTTCAGCCTGCCCCCGCCAGGGCTCAAAGCAATCATAAGCCCCTACAGCACTAATGGGACTTCCAAATACCACCCCTCATAGTCCCAACCCAAACTGCCAGTATGAGCTGTAACTAAAAGATAAGCCCCCTGGATATAACATAAACTCTCCCTTCTGGGCTCACCAACATTAACAAAAAGGAAAGCAGAACACTACTCCTTTAAAAGGGAAAACTTTCCCTCACCTCTGGCACCAGGGTAACCTCCCAGCTCTGGGTTAAATCCTGGTAAGCTCCCAGAGACTCACTGGTAACCCCAGCCAGCACAGCAGTCCATCTAGCATTTTCTGGTAGCTTTCCTGGTCAGGAGCTCCTAGCCCTGCACCTTGCAGGGCTAGACTACCTTGCTGGCTCAGGCCCTGGGTTTATATGCCTCCTGGGGCCCTAACCTCTTCCAGTTAGGAGACTACCCTAGGCTGCCTACAGGTGCCTATTAATTGATCTCACTGACCTATTACTGTGGAAACCCAATTACACTGTGTCCTGCCTGGCCTGTAGTGCTCTCTGCCTGGGCTGCTTCTCTCTTACAGTAACAGAGTCCCCAGCTCTCTGTTACATGGAACTGAGGTCCAAGATGAGGGAGTAGGTGAACTGCAGATGTAGGTGTGGTACCTGCTGGCTGTGCCCTTCCCAGAGAGCAAGAGGCAGGTGTGACATCTCTAAACAGCCAAGAAAGAACACAGCAAAATTACAAGCCACTCCCCTTGTGGAGCCAAGGGCTAATATTTACCTGAAACAGGTTATAACTGTGCTGGGCAAAGTCTATTTGCACGAAGTACAAGAAGCAGTGATGGCTCCACTGGCACAAAGTGTCCTGGTGACTGGTTCCAATCGGGGCATCGGGCTGGAGCTGGTGAGGCAGCTAGCAGAGGGTCCAGATCCCCCACAGTATATCTTTGCAACCTGCCGTGACCCTGAGGGACCAGGAGGGAAGGTTTGTATGAGAACAAGGGCAGATACTGGGGTGCGCCCAAGGGGTTGAGGTGGAGAGAATAGATGGCTTGGGGAGCTGATCCCAGGGAAAGCTGTGTGGGCAGAGGGACTTGCATATCCAGCACCCCCAGGCTTCCCTGGCATCCCTTCTCCTAGAGCTTCTCAGGGAAACCATTGAGCAGTTTCAGAGATGGCTCAAGTAATTGCTGGCTGGGCACTTGTGTCCCAAGAACAGCTGTCAAGCATGTCATTAAGGATGACCTGAATCAGTGATGATCTGCCCCTTCCCACCTACTGTTTGGCCTCCAGTTCAATGCCAGGTCCTGACTAAATAAAATAAAAAAAGGGCATGCAAGAAGGGATAGTGATAACCACCACTCAGCTTACAGTTAAGCTCTAGACCAGGTGTCATCCCCACCACCTTTTTGCTTCCTGAGGGCCCTTTCCTTGCTGTGGCCTGGAGAGATTTTTGACCCTGGTTACATTTCCCTTTCATCTTTCTTGTTAACTGCATAGCTGCAGAATATAACCTGAAATAAAGGATTGTAATGATCATCAGTAGGAGGCTGAACTTCTGTGACTGAGCTCCCAGTGCTGTGGGGAGCCTTCTCCTTTTGCCCCTGACTTACTGACAACCTTTTCCCCAAAACCCTTAATATTTATAGGCAATTTATGACTCTAGTCCTAGGAAAATAGCACTGAGGAGTTAAATTCATTAGTTCCCATGGACTACGGAGCCCTGCAGAAAAGATTTTACTGGCCAGTGCAAAAGTAATACTAGCTTGGCTGATTCTAGAGTTTATTACACCAAAACTTAGGGATGAGGGAAAATAAAGCACCACATCTTCAGCTGATATAAATCATCATAGCTCCACTCAGTTGCATCAGTTCATGGCAGCTAAAGATCTGGCTTGGTAAATTTCTGGCAGGAGGCAACTGCCCAACTTAGTGGGTGCCTGTCCATCCTGTGGGGGTGAGGGATAAGGCATGTGCTTAGCATGGACCAGTTAAAAAATCCAAGTATTGATTGTGCCAATATCCACCTTGGTCCTGTGATTCCATCTCCTTTTCTTGCTGTTTTCAGACCCTGCGAGACCTGGCTGCCAAGTACCCCAATGTGAGGCTGATCCAGCTGGGTAAACAATGATTTTCTTCTCTGCACTATATGGTCTGCACCTTCAGCAGAGCAGTGGCCTTATTATCTCCTGCAGCCTTTGGAGACCCTGCTGGGCAAGAGTTGGTTTGGGTAGTCAGCTTGCTGTCAGCCTACCACACCGTATAGGAGGTGCAGTCTGACCAGACAGCAGCCCAAGTGGCCTGGATCCAGTGCTCTATGCCCATTCATCTGCGAAGGCCCTTCTTATCGCCACAAAGGAACCAATGGCCATTTGACCCCTAAGGCCACATCCAGACGGGTGTGGGCATGTGGTACGTGCTGCCACAGACCCATCTGCAGCGCCACAAACCGCATATGTAGGCATTCTCCACACTGCTACCTTGCAGTGTGGAGGAATGAGGGGAGGAGGGGTTGACCCTGGGAGACCCTGGGGTCAAAAAAAAACCCATGCCAAGAATAAGTGGGGTGGCATATGTGGCAGCAGTGCACACCAGCCAAAACCAGAGCTTGGCCCCACATATTTTGTAATAAAATTAAAATATGTTTTAGTAAGTGTTTGACTTCTAGCGTATGATATGTTTTTTTCTTGTTCTGAGATAGCAATCCCCTCCCAAAAGGAGTCTTTCTTGGGGGGCAAAAGGGGGGACTTCTGGTGGCAAAAGTTAGGGGGCGGGACTTCCAGTCCCAATATGGCAACAAGGGAGAGGGACAACAGTCAAGGGGGCAGAGCTACCCATGCAGCCCTTGACAGCTCACTAAAACGCATTAAGCGGCCCTTCAGCTGAAATAATTGCCTGCCCCTGGTTTAGTCTTTGGTTTTTAGTGTCCAGTAAAACTGTTGCTTTTGTTTATCGGTTCATATTCTGAGGGTATTGTGTACAAAGCCTGTGAGGTCAGAGATAGAATGGTTGTTCTGTGAAAAGCATTTGCCACTGGTGTTGGGTGCTTCTGTTCTTTTATTATTTTTATGAAAGTTCATTCTGGAGCACGGTGTTTGTTTAGTTCCACCCACATAGATTCCACGGTGGCATTGTTTGCATTGAATGAGACATACCGCATTTTGTGATAGATGTCTAGGGTCCATGGATTTTGATTGCTGCAGTGTGGGATGTGTTGATCATGGTATCCAAAGTATTTTTAGGGCAAATGTGGTGGTATCTGATAGCCTGGCCATAGATTATGGCTGTCTTGGTGTGTTGGGATAATGGAAAGATTACTGGTTTTGTGGAGGTAAGTGTGGTGGTCCATATGGTTTTTTTTTAAATATAGTACTTTGTCGGGTGCCATTCTGGATGTGGATTGCAATGTTCAGAAAGGTGATGTTAGTATAAGAATATTCAAGGGAGAATTTCATAGAAGGGTGATAGTTGTTGACACTGGGCACATCTGCACATGCAATTAATATGACTGAATTTACTCTGGCACAATTTGACCCAGAGTAAACTAATTCAGGTGCAGCATCTAAACATGAGCCTGGTGACATGAACAAATTGAGCCTATGTGGAGCAGTTTAGGCTCAGCACTAGGCAGGATCCTGGCTCCCTGATGGCTCAGCTAACTGGTTTCAATTTCTGCCTGCATAACCGTCTACACATTAATTTATTTGCAGTTATTTACTCCAGTGTAGGATAGTTCTTGTGTCTGATGGGACTATCCTATGCCAAAGTAAATTAATCTATTGTGCCCTAACGGCAGTGCACATGTAGATGGTGACACTTTACTGTGGAGAAAATTAGTTTATTCCACAGTGGGCATGTCTACACAAGGCACTACGTCACCATTGCAATGAGCTATGTTGCGGTAGCTTGTTGTTATGGCAGTGTAGCATTGGTGGGCATAAACCGTGATGCCGACACTACTGCACAGTAGCTTAAGCAAGTACTAAATGACTGTGCAGTAACAACTGTGCAGTCCAATACATGTGTAGATGCGCCCAGTAAAGCACACATGTAGATGTGCCCAGTGGGCAGATCTACACAAAAGATGCTTTACTGTGCTGTAGATCTAATTACTATGCAGTACCATGTTTATACGTGCAGATGCTTACTGCACAGTAATTGGCTCTAATCACAAGCAAATTTGCTACCTGCAAATGCAAGTAGCAGATTTACTTGTGATCAGTAACTGCACAGTAGTGCACATGTAGACACCTGACTGGGAGCAAGTGTGCTCCCAGGCAGCAGGGGGTGGGAGATTGCTCCCTACCCCCAGGAGCTGCCTGCTGCCAGGGCAATGAAGCCCAAGTGAGGACAAGGTCCCCCTTCTCTGGCTGCAAGTTGCTCCCAGCTCCCGCTCCATAATTGTGGGGCCAGGACTGGGAGATCCTTATTTTCTAGTGTCAACTCTGTGGTTGCAGGGCTGGCACTGGGAGATCTTTATCTTCCAGCCCAAGCCCTGTGATTGTGAAGCAGGGGCTGGGAGCTCCATTCTGTCAGGACAGGGGGACATTGTCCCCACCTGGGTTTCAGTGGCAGAGCCTGCCTCAGCCTAGAGCTTCCCCTGACTTCTGCAGGGGCTGGTTGCAGGGCCACAGGGAGCAGGGGAAGTCTGCTGCTAGGAGCAGCAAATCTGCTTCTTCATCCCTGCACTAGCAGACATGTGCCCAGGAGAGATTTCTCTCAAGTAGTTTACTCAGGAGTAAAGTGCTCCAGGATTATTTGCATGTGCAGACGCGCCTACTGTGATGGAAATCAAGAAGCAACTACAAGTATTCAGTCCATATGATGAAAATATCATCTATGTATCACAGGTATGGTGAAGGTATGATGGTGTGGTTGTCTAAAAAAATCCTCTTCAAGATGGCTTATGAAGAGGTTGACATATTGGAGGAAAAGGGTGTGCATCTTTTATGCCTATTGCTGAGCCTGTATTTTGGAGGTAGTGTTGGTCATTAAAAATAAAGTTCTAGTGGGTAAGGATGGAATGGATGATTTATGCAATATATTGTGATTGTAAATCTGAATATAAATATGCAGGTATTTCAAGTGGGTAGCAATGTCTTCATGGTGAGAAACATTAATGTACAGGCTAGTGACATCCATGATTAGAGGTCTGGCCATCAGGTATGGCCTGATTACTTTTAAAGAGTCTTTCATAGCCTAACAACTTGCTTACAGTATTTAACTGAAGGAACAAGGCACTTTTAAGTAAAAGGAGTAAAAAGCTAAGACAAGTTCAGTTTGCTGGCCAAGAAGCCCTCAGTGAGAATAAAGCATAATAATTTTAACAAGCTTTCTATTTTGGGGCTAAACCCTGACAGCCAATGTTCTTTTTTGCTTAAAATAAATTAAATCACACAACAGACACGTCAACACAAGATGCTTTACTCAAGATTAAATGAAATTACTGCTCAATAAGCATCGCCATCTACATGTGCAGATGCTTACTGTGCAGTAGTTTGCTTTAATTGCAAGTAAATTCGCTACTTGTAAATAAAAGTAGCAAATTAACTCACAGAGTTGGGGCTGGGGAGATTGCTCCCAGCTGCAGCTCCACAATAATGTTTGTGGAGCGGAAACTGGGAGCAGGCTGAGATCATGTTCCCTGCACAGCTCAAAGATTGTGAAGCTGAGCAAGGAATAGGCTTTCCAGCCTGTTTCATAGACTCATAGATTCATAGACACTAGGGCTGCAAGGGACCTTGGAAGATCGAGTCCAGCCCCCTACCCCAGGGGCAGGAAGTCAGCAGGGATCATAGGATCCCAGCAAGATAAACATCCAGATTTCTCTTGAAGGTGTTCAAAGTAGGTGCTTGAATCACCTCCGGCGGCAGTGTATTCCAAACCTGGGGGGGTCAGACAGTAAAGAAGTTCTTCCTTATGTCCAGCCTGAAACAGTCACGGAGGAGTTTGTGACCGTTCGATGTTGTCATCCCTTGGGGCGCTCTGGTGAACAGACGTTCCCCCAGATCCTGATGAGCGCCCCTGATAAGCTTATAGGTGGCCACCAGATCACCTCTGAGCCTGTGCTTTTCCAGGCTGAAGAGTCTCATGGCTCTCAGCCGGTGCTTGTAGGGGGGACATCGGTGCTCCCACCTGCCCCCCCTGCCTGTTGCCTAAGCAGTGAGTGCAGCCAGTCAGGGGGTGCACCAGCACTCTCAGGGGGTGCACATGCACCCCTGTGCACCCCCTGCATATCACCACTGGTTAACAGTAAATCTCTACCTACTGTTTCCTTCATTTTGTTTGCCAACTCATGCACTAGTTCCAGACAGACTGTCTTTAATTATCCAGGGTCCCCTCAGTATGGAGCTAAATCTCCCCCAGCTGTGGGAGGGCACAGCAGTCTGGAGAAGGAATGGCCACTCTTGAGTCTTAAAGGGTGTGGCCCTAAATGAACAGCTTTGTAGGGTGTCCCTGATCCACTGCTTTCACTTCTATGATCAGTAGTTTGTACAACCTGACATCTGTTCCTAGAAGGGAAGAGTTAAAGAAGCTTGTGGATCAGTAAAACAGTAAAATAATCAGATTTCCCACCATTTTTGGTGTTTACTGCTAGATATTTTCTTAGCTGGGGTCATGCAAGTAGACTGGTCCTTTTTCTCCTAAGGGTTCCTGGTGCTATAGCCCAGTCCCTGCTGTGTTTGGGTTGCTGTGGGAGGAACGTTCTTAGTCAAAAAGATTTGGCTTTATTTTAAGTGAAAGAAGTTCTTCTGGACAAGTGAGGGTATTTATAGCAAACCCCAACTAACTGAACAATGTGCTACTACTCTGCTTTTTTGGTGCTTCAAAACCTGTGCAGAATGTGGCCCTCTGTGCCAGGCACTGTCCATTCCAGCTATGTATGCCTTGCTCCACGAACGACACGTGCCCTCGGCGGCTGGGGGGGCACAGCGGCAGTGGGAGCACAGCAGCGGTGGCGGTAAGCAGGGGAGCTCCTGCAGACACTACCGGTACTGTCATCAGTAGAGTGGGGGGATCGCAGACTGCCCGCAGACACCACCAGTGGTGGGGCGATGAACGGCAACTGCCCACAGACACTGCCAACAGTGTCAGTGGCGCCTTTTTGTAGGGGGTGCAC